TCATGAACAACCCACTCATCATCTGAAGGAATTTCATCCATCACCAACGGATCTTCCTCAACTTTCAATGATGCTTTCTTCATCCATTTACTTTTCAATCTTTTGTTGTACATCACGTAAACCATTTTATTCAAATTCTTGGTATGCAAGCGATTTCTCTTCTTCGTATGGATCTACAAATTAAATATGTGTAAGTCGATGCATCACAAAACAAAATGTAGGTATGTGGATATGTATACCTGATTAAATGTGCTCCAATTTCTTTCACACGCAGATGACGAACATGTAAGACTTAAGATTCTGATCGCACATGCCATTAGTTCAGGAGTCTCATCTCCATATTGGGTCCACCAATCAACTATATTATTTATAAAAAAAGAATTTAATAACAATATATAACAAAAAAAAGAATTTAATAACAATATATAAAAAAAGAATTTAATAACAATTTAATCGGTAATGATATTTGGTAAGAGCAATTTACTTACCAGGACTCCGTTTATGCACAGTGTTTTGTGCAACGTCATGTCCAAAGAATCCCCGCTTTAGTCGAAAGTCATCCATTTGCAAATGGAGTTTTTCCTGGATCTTTGGATTTGGAAAAAGCTTAGCCATACATCTAAATAATCCTGCCTTCACCTCTGGATTTGTAGACATTTTCGGATCATACTGAAAGCGAGGATTAAGGTAATATGCTGCAGCGTGCAAATCCCGATGCAATTGTAATTCCCACATCTTATCAATTATTTTCCAAATCTCATTATAAGAGCCAAAGTCCCGTCCTAAATTCTCAGAAATTTCTTCCTTTGCTCGATCCATACAACCATATAGAAACCCCATACCGGGTACCATCTCTGAATCTGCCATTCTCAACACTTTAAATAATGGCTTTGTTGTTTGGACTGAATACTGCACGCTCGGCCAGAAATATTTATCACGCAGAATTATTTGTTTCACAGCTTTTGCCTCTTGTGTTTTGGATAAATGGTGTGCATTCCATTCCTTTGAAACACACATTTCCTCCAACCGCTCTTTTACGCCTAGCATACTTTCAAGTGTAAGATAGGCCGTACCAAACCTTGTTGCCGCAGGACGAACAAGATCTCGTTTGGTAAACTCTCGCATCAATGCCAATGACCATCCGTGATTATATATGTAATGAGTCACCTACCATAATTTATAAATATAATATAAGATAATGATAAGGTAATTGAATGTTTGGTTGGAAAAACATTTTAGATTGAAAAAATAAAATG